TGGGCACTCACGAGCCTTCCACGCCTAACTCCAGGACTCCCATGCTCTCTTCCTCCCCACTGGCAGAGCCAGAGACGTTATCTCGGCTCTTTGCCCCTTCGAGCTGCTACCACCCTTTCTCTCCCTCGTTCTCTGGTCTGAGCCTGGGACACAGCAGCGCAGTCTCTCCAGCACCTGCTTCCACACCGCCTCCAAAGGCTATCAGTCACGACAAGACGCTCTTAGCGGGTGACGAACATAAGCACGTGGGAAGTTACAGAGCCCAGGAATTCCAGGGAACCCTTGCAGGCTTTGCTCCTAGCCTCACTCCTACTCCCCTTCCGAGGAGGGCTCTCTGCGACAGAGCTCCCTAGTGCAGCCTCCAGGGAGGCCACAGAGGCCGCCAGGCAGGGAGGCTGGCGCCCCCTAGAGCTGAGAAGGTAATCTGCATTCCTGAGGTCCCTCAGGCTGGACGATGTCCGTTGACCTGAGCATCTTCTAACACCTGGACAGTACACAGAGCCTTCTTCCTCTGAGTCAGAGGCTGTGCTCTGTGGGGGTGGGAAGCATGCGCAGGTGGCTGGACGGAGGGGTGTGCTCTCACGTGGGAATGCCGCGGTTCAGAGATGAAAGCAGCAAGGAGGAGGGACAGACCGGGGGATGTGACGGTGGGCACCCAGCGCGGCGTTCCATCGAGGCTTCCGCTAACTTGTGGCTAAGGTGTAAATTCCAACTTCCAGAAAGCCTTAAGGATGAGTGGGTTTGTTTGTTTATTTATTCTTATTCATTCATCCAGTCACTCATTTTCCCCTGTGGTTTTTGGTATATTCATGAAGTTGTACAACTATCAACACTGATTCCAGAACATTTTCAACACCCCAAAAAGAAACCCCAAACCCGTTAGCAGTCATTCCCCGTCCCCGCTCTCCGTAGCCCCAATCCTTCGTTTCGAAGGCCTGGCTAGGCTAATCCTGCCATGCTCAGTGGCAGAGCACTCACCAGAGAAGAAAACATTAGAGAAACGAGATGCTAGAGGCGGTGACCGTCGGCCTCCTGCAGGATTTGCTGGAAGCCTGAATAGCTAAAAGCTGAATAAAGGTCCTCACTTGTCTGGCTGACAGTTTCTTCTCTGAGCCTGGAGCAAAGCGATGAGGCTTGTTTAATAGAACTGAATGGGTGGCTGTTGCTCGGGACTCCGTTCTGTCCAGCAAGGGGGAACTGGCGGGGAGAGTCGCCATGCCCTGCCTGCCGGGGAAAAGTCTGGATACAGGCAGCCATGCACCTCAGACCCCACCATAAAGGTGGAAGTAACTCCATGACATGGGAAGTGGGCTCAAACTTAGATGAGAAGTTGTGACTCAGAGATACATGACAGCTGTTGTCACATTAAAGACAAGACTTGTTGTGAAGGGCCCCAACTGACATAAATGGGACTAAGGGGTGGAAAATTACAGGCAGACAGCAGCATTCCGGATCAGTCCAGGGAAGGGTTTCCTAAATGTCCTGCCATCTTCAGGCCGAATGGGCTGCCTGTCAGGTAGAGAGTTACAATGCAGTCTGGATATTCAATAAGTGGAGTTAGTAGAGGTAATTTGAAAACCAGAAGGTGATGTGACAACTGTGGCATTCCTACACTTGAGTGGTGAGGTCAGCTGTGAGGTGTGTTGCAAGTGACCTGTTACAGCAATAAAACCCCGAAGCGTGTGATTAATGTCTTTTGATTCTGGGCTATAATTGTAACACCACTCTTATTCACTTGCATTAAGTATTTTCTTGGGCAAAAGTGAAAGACTCCATGTTCGAGGCAGCGGGCTGGGTAATGCTCGTGGAACATTCCACGCAAGTTGTCTATAGGCTACAAGAGGTGGAGTATTACCAGGCTAGCAGCTGCTGGGATCCCTTCCAAAGCTGAGGTTCCTCTAAGCTGGAGGCACCCCACCCCTCAACCTCCCAACCTAACCATGACCTACTGGAGAACAGGTGTCACTGGGTTTCTGCAGAATTTATCTGCAGACGATAGCGTCCTATGGGAGACAGTGGTAACAAACCCTGGAGTCATGTCTGAACTCTACAGAAAGGGAGAGTGAGGACTAAATAAGTTTCATCTGCCTGTGTGTTTTCTTTTCACAGAAGAGTCATTCAGATGATTTCAATAGGACCAAAGAAAAGTATGACCTTCCCATTTTCTTTAAATAAAAATGGTTATAGCCGATGTAAATATGGCCAGAAAACATTATTTGCTCTTTGAAACATTAAAACATTTTTTCCTCTAAGCAAGAATTGACATGAACTGGTAACTAACGGAACCTGAACTTAGCCAACCTCACCCCCATCCAAACTGGAACCGACTTCCACTTTTCATCTCCCTGGATAAATGGCCTTGGCAGAAACTGCTGTCACAAAGGCCAACTGTAGAAGTGCCACCATAAAAACACTTGACTGACCAACTCGGGCCTTTTCAGATTCTTCCTTGACTCCTTTTCCATGTCCTTTTTCTGCAGCTCTGCCAAATGACCAGATGTTAATGACCCCGCTGGAATGCAAGAATATCTAAACAGATGGAAGGTAGCTGGTCGCCTGGTGCAGTGCGCTACTCGGCAGCCCTGTGATTTCTGGCACCTCATAATATTTTTTTATTACAAAATTTTTTTTCATTATAAAACTATTATTACTACATTATAAAAATGTGGAAACTAGAGGAAAGAGAAAAATCACTTATAAGCCCATCATCCCAACAAAATCCCTGTTTGCATCTTGGTGCATCGTCTACTTTTCTCGAGGGCTCTCTGTACGTAGTTATATGGACCACATGTATGTAGCTTATTTGTATCCCACCGCCTCTAAAAAGGATTTGCAGCAGCTTATATAAACACACGTCATCAGACAGACCATTCCATGTGGCCGTACTCTCTCCGAAACCAGCCTGTCCTCCCCCCTCCCCAGTTTCCAACTCATGGATTCCAGCCATCTCCTTGTCATCCAGGTTGAAACTCCTGCCCCATCTTGGACCCCTCCCTCAACCCCAACATTCGTTTCCATCGGTTCTCCTGTCGCTACCCCTTGCTCACACCCACCCTGCCCACCCTCATCAATATTACCACCACCTCCGGTCCAGGTCCTGACCACCGATGTCCCTAAGCGATTACAATGCTTCTCGGACTCGTTTCTCTGCCTCTACTTCCTCTCCTTTTCCTTCCTCTCGTACCACTAAATTGGTGTCCTCATTTTCACAGACTGAAAACAGGCATTCACCTGCTCGACAAAGCATATTCTGTGGTTGGAAATTTACAAACATGCACAGTTTGCCCCGATCTACTTTTCTTGCCCTGTTACCACTGCCCCACATGAAACCTCTGCTGGTGATCTGGCCTCCGACACGTGTGCAGTGAGTGAGACAGGACAGACACATGCCTGCTCCCTGGTGTCCCTGCCAGGAGAATGTCATCTGGGCCAGCCAAGATGGAGTAACAGGTATTAGATCTACCCTTCTGCCATTAACAACTATAAAAGTGGACGAAATCAATAAAGCAGCTGTTTTCAAGCATTCGACTACAAATGGAGCAGGGCTGTGAACCCAGAGAGAGGGCAATGCAGGCACGCCGTCCGCTGTTGCCTGGCTTTCTGCCTGGGGGCACTTTTCACACTGGGCTCAGGGGAGTGGGGCTCACGCCCACAGCCCTCTATGCCCAGGCCTCTGCACAAGGCGGAGATGGCTCAGGATGTGAGAAACCAATTCAGTATTTGCTTTTTTAAGTAGGCAGCTCAAATTTTGGATTTAAAAAATATATTAATTCCTCTCAAATTTCCATGGGAACTTTTCTCTCTTTATGCTTTATCTTCCTTTCGATTTTCTTTAGCTGAAAATACTGAGCCATCTGGCCCCTAGTTTCAAGAAGGAACCCCACTAAAGGCAGGGAAAAGCATTTTTAGGCAACGACGCTTTCTGCCTCTCTGGCTTCTCTCTACCAAGCTTGTCTGCCTGTGACAGCCGAGAAGAGGCTACGCGCACTGAGCCCATGGAGTTTCGTGCCAATGGGACAGGAGAACACCTCCTCGATGTTTCAAAAGACTGGCCCACTGGGCCAGCAGATTGACACTGCAGGGTGGATACCCATCACAGGCAAGGCATCCGAGGCCACGTTAGTGCCAGAGCCACGTTGGAGAGTGACTGAAGCCGAAGCAGGCACCCCGACAACGACCTAGCGAGGGGCGAGATGCAGCTAAGACTATAAACAGCACGTCTGGGGAGACATTAAAATGGGGATTGGTAGGGTTTGCTCTTCTCGCGACCCCACTTCTTCCCCTTCACAACCTAGCGAGGGGCGAGATGCAGCTAAGACTATAAGCAGCACGTCTGGGGAGACATTAAAATAGGGATTTGCTCTTCTCGCGACCCCACTTCTTCCCCTTCACCCTACTGTAGTTTTTTCAAATCCCACTTTTTCCTGCTTAGCTCCAACCCAAAAGAATGTTTAAAGAGCACCTAATAGCTGCCTTTCGCTACCTGCTGGATAGATGAAGACCTACTGGGAGCAGCACGCTTCTCCAGCTCAGCCCCGGAGGGGCATTCCTCAGGGCGGGAATCTTCCCACTATCCCCTGCTGGGCATATCTTTGGAGAGCCCCTCTGAATCACCCCAATGTGTGGGTCAATACAGGCCAAGTGCCGCACGCTTCCCCCCCGCTGGGCCTCTCTTCCCCCAACACATCGCAGCCAAACTGCAGCTTCCGGACGGGCCAAGGCCTGGAATGAGCCCCTCTCCCTCACCGCTGCCTCCTCTGGGGCCTAAAGAGGGTCCTGGTGAGAGGACGTTTCTTATTCTCACCCTCACCGCAGTCACCACGGGAACACAATCCTTAGGTCACATACTTGTGTAGCCCTAGGGGCCTGGGGCAAATTCAGGGACAAAGCACACCCCAGCTTGCACATCGCGCTGCCTCTGGAATACGAGGCAGCCAGGCCGACTGCGAAGGTCTGCACGCCGTCTGCAACCCCAAATAGACTTGAAGGTTCCATCCTACCGTCAGCGAGTGGCTTGCAGGAGAGAGCGTCATCGAGGTCTCGGGCAGTCGATGGGTCGATGGTGAAGACACAGTCTTTTCTAAAGAAAGATTGAAGATATCATTAGCGAGTAATAGGAACTTTACCCACTGCAGCATAGCTTTAAAGCAGAGTTACTCTGAGTGCTCGCTTCGGCAGCATGTACACTAAGGAACAGTTACTTTGAAAATGTGCCAGTGACCAGCAGCAAAGTGGAGAGCAGCCCTTACAAGTCACTGAGAAGGGGTTCTCAGCAGATGTGAGACTGCTCCGCGAAGCCCCGAGACCTTCTCATTTTACTTCAGAATTTCTCAACTAACCTGCCCCACCCAACCCGGCCATTCCCACCATGTAAATACCTGAAGATCTGGGCAGAGTTTGGCCCCAGCTCTCCACGCCGTCTGCCCTTTGCTCCCCAGGCACTGGCCTGGAGATTGGGGTGCTCAGCAGTAACCCCTTCCCTCCTTCCACACGCAGGCTCCCTAGTCAGTGCTCCCTGCTGCTACTGGACTCCTCCCAATTCTGTCTCTATTTTCTTTAGCAGTAGCAGCGCCACCGCTGCCATCGGCTAGTCTCCTTCCGACTCATCGACACTGATGATGGTGGCCCTCCTGGTGCTCGCCATGGCTAGACTGGCTTCGTTCTTTGTAAAGACGCCTTTCCTCGTCCCGCTCCTCTGCTTGAAACGTCCCCCAAGCACTCGGAGGCTGCTAGGCCGCACGGGCACGAGCCGGCACAGCTCAAAGGACCTGCCTGGATCCGCTCCTTACCGTCCACCTTCCTTACTCCTAACGACCTCGACAGCCCTTTCCGACCCCTCGCGCTGACCCTCTCGCCACCACGATGCCCCAATTCCAAGACAAGATTGAGTCTAAGATGCACCATCATTTCAATAATCGCTTTTTGGAGAAACAAACAACCCTATCACATTAAATATATATCTTGATTTTAATGTACTTCAGGATTTCAGAAACGTTAAAAAAAAAAAAAAGAAGACTCTTCAATGGTAACCAGATAACCAAACTATGGTGCAGCAACACAATGGAACACCACTTAGAAACAAAAAGAACAAATATGTCTGATTTCATCTTTTTGAGAATGTCCTATAAACGGAATCACATATTATGTAAGCTCGTGAGATACCATCAGCGTAGTATTATACTATCAGTGTAGTATTATACCACCAAAATAACACCTTTGAGACTCGGCCAAGTTTTTGTGTGTTTGTAAGCACTGATCGGTGGTTCCCACAGGCTGGGTTGGAGGAAGGTATGATTATAAAGGGGTGCTCATTCTGGGGGAGCAGAGCTTTTCTATATCTTGATTATGGTGGCAGTTACATGAATCTATACATGTGTTAAAAGTCATAGACTTGTACAACAAAGGTCAATTTCACTGTTTATTAATTTAAAAATTAAAAAAGTTTAAATGTGATTTCCGAATTAAGGAAAGAAAAAAATATGTGTTTATTAATAGAGCTGACCGTTAGGTGCTAGAATTATGGACTTTTTTCCTTTATACTGGTATATATTTTTTTTGAAATTTTCACTAGAGTTAAGTATTACTTTCATATAAATGGGAAAAATTCCCACTGTCGAGAATGTCCCCCAGTCAAAAATAATTGTCAGATACATGACGTTGCTTCTGATGATGTTTAGCGATCTCGTAGACCCATATTGCTTAATATAGTCAATACCTTTAAAATTAGGAACCTGGTGAAACCATGAACTCACTGGTACACTAAGAGAAGAGGGCGGGGAAGGGTGGGTGCTGCTCAGGTGGAGAAAACAAGGGCGTTTGGAGAGCTGTCCCAGAAAAAGAGATTCATCGGGAGGTCTCACTATTTCACGAAGAGGCACACACAGTGTGGGGAATATTAATGTTGAGGTCTCCGGATAGAAATAACTTCTGTCCACTGACTCAACAGGTAATTATGCGAGAATGCCAGAGGAAAAGAGAAACACCGATGTCCCCTGGAAAATGAGCTCCCCAAGTTTGTGTTCCAGGGCTATGAACACAGGGAGCAACTCACAGTGTTTGCTGAGTGAATAAATGCGTGCACGCTGACAGGAAAAGACAGGGAGGTGAACTTAGTCCTGACTTCACAGTAATGGGCTTTCAATTGTTGAGGATCTTGAACTTGATTCACAAGGGAAGGAACTGTCTGCTTCTTGCTTCTTTTTGTATCCCCTGTAAAAGCTACCAAAATGCTTTATACGTGCTGAGTACTCAATAAATACTTGATGAACTGCAACTGAACATCAGACTTGGTGGTAGGAATATTTTTCAGTGTAATGACGTCATGAAAAGCTGAAAGAGCATCCCTCCAGCCAAATAAAGAAAGAAAGAAAGAAAGAAAGAAAGAAAGAAAGAAAGAAAGAAAGAAAGAAAGAAAGAAAGAAAGAAAGAAAGAAAGAAAGAAAACACTCTTAGCTTGGTAGGGGCCAGAGACGACCGATTAACTTGGGAGAGTTGATTAAGAAGCTATACTTCTTAAAATTAAATGTCTCTGGGTGATTTGAGACTTTTATTTCTACGTGTGAATGACAATGCCCAATAAAACATTTCCAGTCTTGAACTGATTCAGCCATATGTAACAGAGTAAAACTAGAAGGTTTCAATTATTAGTTTGTCAGTCTTCTTTGAAAGGATCCACAAACTGTTTCTGAGAAAAATCTTAGGCTAACCCGTAAGCACTCAAACCAATTTTCTACTTTCAAAAACTCTGCTCTTAAAACCAGAAACATAAAAGTCTAAATTAAAACAACTCCAAGAAACAGCACTCAGGAAAGCTTGCTGGAAAGACATACCATCCAAACATTATTCTTGACCAGGGGCTGGCAAACTACAGCTCACAGGCCAAATCGGCCTGCCACCTGTTTTGAATGGCCAGCAAGCTAAGAATGGTTTTTGCATTTTTAAATGGTTGAAAAAAATGGAAAAAAAATTATTTCATAACACATGAAAATTATATAAAATTCAAATTTCAGTATCCATAAATGAAGTTTTATCGAAACACAGCCATACTTTTTCGATACAATGGCAGAGTTGAGTAGTTGTGACAGACTGTATACTTCGACTACCCATTGGCCCTTAGCAGAAAGTCTGCTGATCCCTGTTTCAGATCGTTTCCCAATGTGCCAAGTGCTTTAATTTTTTAAAAAGGTCTTGTGATAGAATCAGTTTGAGAAATGCTGAGCCAATAGCTTAACTGTGGGACTCTCAGGGCCTTCAACATGCTGGTATCACACAGCTCTCGCCAGACTCATCTGCTCTTGGCATAGAGTGTGTGCGTGTGTGTGAGAGTGCGTGCGTGTGCGTGTGAGAGTGCGTGCGTGTGTGAGTGGCAGAGCGCCTCCCAGATGCAAGGCTCCTCTTGGCACAGTGTGTGTGCATGTGCGTGTATGTGTGGCAGAGCGCCTCCCAGAAGCAAGGCTCCTCTTGGCACAGTGTGTGTGCATGTGCGTGCGTGTGTGTGTGTGTGTGTGTGAGTACGTGCGTGTGCGTGTGAGAGTGCGTGTGTGTGTGTGTGTGAGTGGCAGAGCACCTCCCAGAAGCAAGGCTCCTCTTGGCACAGTGTGTGTGCATGTGCGTGTGTGAGTGGCAGAGCGCCTTCCAGATGCAAGGCTCCTCGGGAGAGTGCCCTTTCAGACGAGATGAACTGCACAGAAACACCCTGCACAGGCCTCCAGTGGGGTCCTTGTCCCACATGGGGCCTTGCCACCAAGCCCACCCCAAGGAACACGGGAAGAAGTCAACCAAGTGGCTATGCTATGCACAGCAGGGATGCTGATGAGGGCCTTGTCCATGTCACCCTCAGTGCCCCTTTTATGGGGGAAGTTTAGGAAGTACAGGGACCCACTCTTCTCTTGAGCTGATGGTTTATTTATATCTTACAGACACATGAATTTTATCTTTTTAGAGTTCCCTCCTTGCTTTGGCTGCTAGGACTCAGAAAAGACATCTGTGACTTGACTCTGGAGGATCTTGTTTGTAGTTTGAACTTGGTGAATTAACCTTTATCCTGGCTGTGCCTAAGTTTTCTATGCATAGATTTAGTTAACTTCATATCCTAATTGTTAAAAAAAATTACTGCATTATATGTATATCTGCGAGTTGCCTTGAATCATTTCTTCTAAAGCAGGGTATAAACGAACATGCACGTTGAGGGGATGTGGGTTGGCAAAGAGGCCTTCGGTGTGGGCTACCAAGAGAACTAACCTCTAGACAGAGTAAAACCCACAGGGCCCCCAGCAAGTACTCGCACGGTAGCTGTGGCTCCAACTTGCTCTCTCACCACGGACAGCTGGGAGAAGCAAGGGGACAGTGAGGGACCCTGACCGACCCCAGTCCTCAGTGCTGAGAGCCAGCGATTTAATCTGTTGTCATCGCCACGACTGCGGGTCGGCCACGACGTGGTGCACGAGGGCTCCTTCTGGTCATGGGCCACTGCGGCTGGGAGCTGCTGGCCTCGGCACTGGGGAGCCCGGCCCCCCTCCCCGGGCGGTGCACCGTGCGGCTGTTCCACTCTGTTAACGTGCCTGGGATTTTACTGGCTCCTTTTCTGGAAGGCTTTGGTCTCACAACCTGCAGGGAGCAGCCCGGTTTGCCAGCTTTCAGAACCTGTGAGACCAAATATTTAGAGTTCCGCAACAATGGTTAGAAAGAAGCTAACCCTGACCCACAGAATGCAAAGTGCCAGGTGGGGGAGGGAAAGAACGAGACTCCAGTTCATGAGGCTGCAGAATTCCAGTTCAGAGCGACGTTATGTAACCCAAATTTCTGAAGGCACGTGACTGGAGGGCTTAGTAGAACTTTTTAAAGTGACAGAAACTTCTAAGATAGTTTTACTCAAAGCCATTGGTCTGGGAAAAAACACAGGAAGGATAACTAAGAGCCTTCCGTAATCCCGTAAGACCGGGCCAAGAATCCCAGGAAATAACAAACGCAAAAGCGTAGAAACAGATTCTGTTCCTCTGTCACTCACACTCTCTCCCTCTGACTTTGCATCTTCCTCCTCCTCAAGGTACCAGCATCTCCGCCTCCTTGCAGCTGGAACAG